AAACCATGCCTGTATTGAGTAAATGATCCTGTGGTCTCCCCTCAGCTTGCTTTGGGTGTTTCAAACAGAAGTACTTTTCTTCTCACACACATTTCCTTTTTTTTTAAATGTTCCTTTGATTCCCACCTTAACTTTGTTTATCTTGATTTTGAAATTCTTATTTAACAAGTACTTAATAGCATCTGCTGTATACTCAGCACTTTATTAGTTGGTGTTACTAATATATTTTATTTGTGTTCTTCTTTGAAATTTTTCAGATTTGCATATATCTTCATGTTTGTCCTACCTGCACAGCTGCCTTCTACCACCATCTTGCTCTTGCTTCTGTGTGCTCCCACTTCTGTAAGCCCTGCTTAAATTTCAGTATGCAGGCCTTTGTTTCTTCTTACTCAAATATTTGAATTTCTCTTCTGTATAGTCTTCTTTTGGCCAGTGCCTCTGAACACTTTGATGTGTTCAGGACACCTTTACCAAGTTTTGATATGTGGATGGAGTTGATGGTAACTACAGCCTCTGAGGCCTCCCCAGACCACCAAGCTCATCTCTTCAACTGAGGGAGACACCTGGGCCCTACCTGGGTTCCCCTTCCCCACACTGTAGCCTGGAAATTCTCTCCAGATAGTAAGCTAGGACAGATGTAGGCCCTTGTTTGTTTCCTGTCTCTCAGGGATTATTGTCCTTTATTGAAGTCCAGTGTCTTGACAACTACTGTTTTATGTATTTTCTGGGTGTTTCTAGTTGTTTCAGATGGGAAGATAAATCAGATTCCTGTTACTTCACCTTGACCAGAAGCAGAAGTCCTCTCAGAATAGAACTGTTTACATTTCATACTCATTTTTGCCATGGGGCAACTAAGTGGGTCTGGCCTTATCTTTTCACTTCATCATCCTCCTTTTCAGAACTTCACAAGTAGTTCTTTTTTTTTTTTTAAAGATTTTTTTTTAAATTGGGGAATTGGGGGGATGCAAACAGCTCTGGGGAATTGGGGGAAGGGAAACAGACAAGTTGCTATCCTTTTGTTCTTCATTCTAGTTGTGGAGGATGTCGCTTCACTGGCCCAAGTTGGCAGCATCATTGCGCTCTTCCTGGGTGAGGCAGATTAGTCGCCGGCTTCTGGACGGCCTCTCATGGCGGCTGCTGGCCGCTCAACACTGGCTACTGGCTACACACAGTAGCCCATGGCAACCCACTGCAGCAGGGGCTTCAGCCCACGCTGTCCAGCGACTCAGGGCAGCCCAGCTCCAGGTTGAGCTGTTGTTCAGCAACTTAGCTGTAGAGGGCAGTGTCACTGGCCCTCATATGTGGGATCCAAACCGGGGCCCTTTGGCTTCCCAAGCCAGCTCTAAACCAGCGCGCCACTCGGCCGGCCCTCACAAGTAGTTCATTTTTTTTTTTTTAATTTTTTTTTTTTTTAGCTGAGCCATCCTGCTACCTGTTGGCAGCTCAGCGGCTGCTCAGCTTGGGCTGGACTCGAACCGCTGTTGCTCAGAGCTCAAACTCTTGAGCGAGCTCTTAACCAACTGAGCCACTCGGCCGGCCCTACAAGTAGTTCTTAAAGAAAATGAATTTAATATTTATTAAGTGCCTTCCATGTGCTATGTTATATATTAGTTGCTAAAATGAATAGGCTTGATCCCTGTACCAGATGGGCTTCAAGTCTAGTGAGGGAGGCGGTCAATGTTCTTGTTACTATAATTAAAAGTAATACATATTTTGCAATATTTTAGATGCCATCACCAAGTAGAGTGACACGTATGTTATGTTAAATATGATAAATGATTAAACATTAGAATCGATGGCCTTTTGCTGACACTTGTGAATTCTGTCTCCAAACCATGACCAGGTTGTCCACCCTTTCCTGGACATCTATAATCCTTCTCCTATTGATGGGGTGGAATTGTATGTGTGCTATTGGTCCCCCAGCTCTCCTGGGTCTGTCTCCTTTCCATATGATGACCTTTTTTTTCCTCCTGAGCTTTGGTCTGTTGTTAGATCTGATTTCAGTTTTCTCTTTTACTTTCACCAGTATAAGAATGTTAAACACTAGAATATAAAAAATTAGCTTCATTTGCTACAGATGGATGAGTTTTTTTCAATGAGTTTGTTTTCAAAAGTAAAATTTAATTGGCTATTGGGAAGGGAAAGGAGGGAGGGTTAAGAGTAGCAGAAGACCAAAATTATAGTTAATAAATCTGGTCTACATTTCCAAAGAAACTCTTTGAATGATGATTGAGGTCAACTATCCTTTGAGTTGTTTACATGAAGCTGCAGGTTGCTAGTGACATCTAATAACCCTCCTCCTTCTGTGACTGGGCGGTAGGAAACTGTGAGTAATGCCAGTGTGCACTGACTGGGTCAGGTGTGGGGAGCATTGTGAAATGCTCAGCCGTGAAAGGTGCAGGTCCTGACTGGCTCAAGACTAACTACATTGTGGCCTGATCAAGGTTGCCAGAACTCCAGTGGTGGATTTTTTTTTTTTAATCCTAGTTAGTTGCTGTGACCAGAAACTTCCTTGGAGAGATAGCCTCTGTTTTGATGACTGCTAGCCCTGTGTGGTCTGTCTGGTGCTTGTGATAGCTCTGGATGTTTCTACTTCTCCTCAAGGAACTCATTAATATGATTTCACACACTGTATCCTTACTGAAGAGAACATGCCATCTTGCTCTGTGTGGAATATCTTACAAGACACACTGCTGTGTCAGTTTTTAAGCTTCTGGGCCCAGATGTCTCTAGCAGTTCCACTTTTCCTCAGATGCATGGCCAGCTTCATGTATAAATAGCCTTTCTGTCCTGCAGAGGCTGTGAGAAGCTCTGCCTGAGCGTTTGAGAGTTAACCAGCATTTACTGAGTAAGCCCTCTGTGAGGCACTGATTGTACTATTTACAGATTGTACAAGAGATTCTGCTGGCCTCCAAAGGTACTTATAGTCCAGAGGGGAAATAGCGTAGGTGACTTTAGAGGCTCATTCAGGAAGACCACAAAAGAAAGTTAGAAGATAAGCCAAACAGTTAGTGTTTTGAGTTCTGTTTCTTTAGGCATCTCTGTTGGGGATTGGTGGCTTAAGTGACCAAGGGGCTGGCATCCCACCATTTTTAGCCATGTTCTATTTTGAGATTAAGTTTGTGGTTTGGGAAGGATGTATAACCATTTTCAACAGATGCTTATTAAGTGTGCAGAATATTGTGGTAAGTACAAGGAACACCAAGAAGTATAAAGTTACCCTCTGCTTCTAAGGAACTGCTCATAGTTAGAAAGGCAGGGCATGTTTAAGTTTTTAAAAATCTTAATAAGATGTAAGTCTTCATAAGAGAAAAGCATAATCGTCAGCACTTAGAAATATCTACTAAACTGTTAATCCCCCAGGGGAGTGGGGCTTGGAATGGTGGGGCGTGTGGCAGGGGAGAGGAAGGATGTTCACTTTTTCTATTAATATATACATTTCTGTATGGTTGGAAATTTTTATGAAGTGCCAATATGGCCTTTTTGGAATTATTTCTTTATCAGTTAAAAAAACGATTTTCTAAAATATTATACACACAATGTTAACCCTGAATATCTCTCTGTGATAGGTTTATGAGTGATTTATATTTTCTTTGTTATACCTCCCTATTCTTGGGTACATTTTCTATATTGGATATGTATTATTTTATAAATAGAGAAATAAAGTGTGTGAAAACCAAAACACAGAAGCACCTACAATGATTATTAAAACTACATTTCGGCTCAGAGATATAGAGGAAAAACTGATGGTTGCTAGATGGGAGGGGGGTGGGGATGAGGGAGAAGGGGAAGGGATTAGCAGCATAAATTGGTAACTACAATATTGCCACGAGGATATGAAAGACAGTTCAGGGAATATAACAAATAATGTTGTAAAGATTTTGTAGGGTGTCAAATGGGCACATATCTTATCAGGGAGACCACTTCATGGATGGGGTAGAGGCTTGATCACTGCACTGTACACCTTATATATATATATATATATATATATATATATATATATATATATATTGTCATGGGATATGGAGTATAGTATAGGGAATAGAGTTAATGGAATTGTATTAGATATATATGATGTCATAGGGGTAGTAGATTGGGGGAGAGGGGTATCACTTTGTGAGGGGTGAAATGTCTAACTATTACATTGTTTTGTACACCTGAAACTAGTAATAAAAATTAAAAGAACCAAAACTGTGTTTTGGGGAGACCAGTTAGCTCAGTTGGTTGGAGCATGGTGCTGATGGCACCAAGGTTGCCAGTTCGGTCCCTGCATGGGCCACTGTGAGCTGCGCCCTCCCTAAAAGAGTCAACTATGCCATTGTAGCATGAAAGCAATGTGTAACCAATGACCATGGCTGCTCCCCAATAAAAAACAAACAAGCTACATTTCAACGTGCTTACCATGTTTTGAATACAATATACCAGCTTTCCCTTTTTATCTCCTCATTCTTACCATAACTCTCTTAAGGTTATTCTATTATTATTAATTGTTATTTAAAAAGGTGAAACAAGGGCACTTGCTCTTGCTTCTGTTCCTTGTCATTTTGAGTGAGCCTAGAAGCAAAAGGAATCCAGCTATTAACTATTCAGCTATACTGTGAAGGCTGCCTAGAAAATTTTAAATTATGCTGATTGGGTTACAATTATATCTGTCAATGTGGGCTGTGATCTCTTGTTTTCAAGCATTTCTATATCTTTATATTTAGTACTGTTAGAGAAAGCAATTAGATTGTCCCATCTCCCCATCTGGTACAGTGAAGAAAATTCATCTGCTTGGCTTACTTTGTATGAGAGAGAATTAAAATTTCCAAGTTGTTTATAATTCAGGCTAAGTAGTTAAATCCTGTCTTTCCCAAATTTTGTTCTGGGAATCCATATCCCCTTATAATTATGAACTTAATTACTTGGAAAGTAATGGTGTTCTGAATTATTTAAGGAAGCCAAAGGTTGAAGCAGAAGTGCCATTTCTAAATGAATTTCTCTCTTTTTTTTCCATGTAGCATGTGTTTGATGATCTCAGTGGCTCAGTATCCTTGTCCTGGGTTGGAGATAGCACTGGGGTAAGTATATTTTGAGGCTATGAATTCAACCTAGGAAGAAGATGTAGATTTGCAGAGTTTAAGCACTGAATGCTGCTACTTTCTGAAACTGTCAGTTGCAGAAATGCACGTTTGCAGGGCAGACTTCAAGGAAGCTGTGGTGGGTTTGGTTTTGCTTTAGAACTGGAGCCATCTGTGACCACTTTCTTCCATAATAGGAAGATAGACACCTTTTGAGTCCTTGGTGGCTGCTTGGTATCAAAGATGAGCAGGAAGAAAGAAGAGGAAAGAGAGTGCTATGTGCTGAGAAGGGAGCCTCAAAGACTTGGGGAAACCCCCGTGTAGAAGCAGAAAACTACGCATTACACATCTTGGCACTTTTCCTCTAAGTTGTATTGTGCCTGTGTCCTTCCCACAGTTATTGTTGCAGGACTGTGGTGCCCATGGGCTCAGGGTTGTTCAGCTTCATCTGTTGTCCATTCCTCTACCACAAAGGAAATGCTGCCAGGCTTGGGGGATGGAAGGGAAGCCTGTCAGTTGCTCTTCCCTTCTAGTATGTAGCGGATCTCCCAGTAGGAGGCTGTGCCGAGGATGATGCCTGGGCCTCAGGTTTTGAATCAGGGCTTAGTGTTACCTGGCTCTGTTATCCTGCCTGAATGAGGGCAGGGGCCCAGCTCAGACCCTCCGGTATTCAGTAATGTATGTATCACAGCACTGAGGCACATGATGGCTGTATCAGGACCCCCAAAAAATATAATTTTGGTGCTGAAGAGCAAGTTATAAATTTCTTTAACTAATTTTTAAGCTCCTGGTAGAATTTCTTTAAGCATGTCCCAGTTTCTTCTAAAATTTGAGTTGTACTCTAATTTCCATGAGTTGTCCATTTATTTAAGATAGTTGGTATCTACGAGATTTCTTGTTATATGGCTATTTGAGACTTCTTAGCCTCTTGCACTAATCTATCAGAATCTTTTCATCATGCATATTTTTATCTAAAAAAATATTTATTTAAGAAATTAATTTCATGGAGAACTAACAGGGAGAAGTAGAAAAGGAGAGATAGATATATGGGACACAGTGACCTCTGTTACAGCACCCACACTGTTCTAGTCTCTAAGCAGGAAGAGACGATTCTTGCCTGAGAATATTTTACAACAATATAGATACAAATAGTTGAAGCCTTCCTTTATTGTAATGTGTAGTTGATTAGCTCTGCCTCAGTGTCTCAAGTGTAGGTAAAATGGGACCACTCAACAGAAGAAGTTGAGACCTTTAATCATTGCAAGCCCTAGTAACTTGGTTCTTCTTGGTTTTCTAACACATTACAAGATAGGCTACGACAAAGCAGGGCTGCTGGCAACCTTTCAGATGTTGATTTAATCCCATCACAGACAAGCAGTTGGACTACCTTTTTTACTGACTGAATACTTTTGTCTCTCTCCAGATCATTTTAGTCTTGACTACCTTCCATGTACCACTGGTAATTATGACTTTCGGACAGTCCAAGCTCTATCGAAGGTGAGATGCATAATATGTGGTTGGGGCATTGATTAACATATTGTGAATATACAGTTTACCAGACATGATGGAGTTTAATAGTTGATTTAAAAGATCTAGCCATCTGCAATTTTCACCAAACTGTCACATTCAGCACACTTTTAAATATTTACTTGGCAATCTGAAGAGGTATGAAAAGAAATCTAGTTCCAATGAGATTAGGTTGACCTGACTAGGTGGCAAAACAATAAAAGAAGATGGAGGAAGAGTCTAGAGGGGTGTGTGTTTATTAATTTAAATGGATATTTATTTGTGGGAAGGTAGCATGGAGTTCAAATATCTTTTATGAGCACAAAATAGATTTCATATCCCTGAAGTAACAATTCTCACTGTACCTTCCAAGTGAATGTATTTATCTAACATTTTGAGCCCCAAACAGATTGTTTCTAGATCAGGAGGAGGTTCTCAGGTCAGAAAACCTACCAAAGTACCTGGCAGTGTTCACGTTGATAATAATGGTAGAACGTATATTCTGGAGCCATAAGCTGTACTATGCCATTCACAAAGTTTTAGACTTGTCTTCTCAAAGGTACAACTTGATTAAATAGTAGGTTCTTTTCCTTAACCGTAAGGAAATTGCTGATTGACTTCTCAGTTTGTGCCTATCCCCTTTTCCCCCAAGGGATCTAAAGAAATATGGCATCCTAGCAGAAGACATAAAAACTACCTCCAGGGTCAAGGGGTCTTCCAGCAGCCATTGTACTTTCTCAGAGTTCTTTATTTGACTGTTGATCTTGGCCCAGGTGGGAATGAACCCATGTTGAAGTTCTGAGATGGGTCAGCCCAGCCTCTGTTCTCCAGTAGGCGTGATGCTTGACTGCTGTTCCTGAGCCTGGAGCCATTGCTCTCTGCCTCTCAGCACAGGAATGTTGGTTTAAAAATAGGCCAAGAAGGAATTGCCATCTTAGAATTGCTGTAAGCTCCATAAAGGCAAGGTTCTTGACTAACTTGGGGTTCTCCAGCTACTAGCCAAACGACTGACATGTAGTAGGCAGGCAGTCCATACTAACTGAATGAATGAATGCCTTGGCTTCTCTATAATTTTTAGACTGATGATATTTTTTTTTATTTGTTTGATAAGAATTGACAATGTACTGTAGAATTCTAGAGCTAGAAAGGACTATAATTCATAGGTTATTTTGTTTATTCAATTAGAAAAATAGTTGAACCATCAGATAGGTGAAAGGTATCCTGTTTGGGAGGCAAAAAAAAAAAATGCATAAAAAATTGTAACTTCAGTAACTCCAGTGTTTAAGAAACCTTGCTTTCATAAAATTTTTCCTTATGCTATACAGTCTCTCTTATCAATTTATCTTTCATTATAAAAGCAATACAACCGTATTATAAAACATTTGGAAATCTCAAAGGGAAGGAAAAGTTCACCCTAATGTCGAGTGTAATCTTAATCTATTTACACTTATCTTGATTTTCCCCTTTAATATTATATCATATGGCTACATAGTCTTGGGAAGCAACATGGTTACAGCATAAAGTTGCCAGGTTTTGTTGGCAAATAGGCGTGGGATTGAACCTCAGCACTGTCATTTATAAGCAGAATGAACTTGGACAAGTCGTTTAACCTCCCGCCTCCCAAGTCTGTTTTGTCATCTGTACAAGAAAGATGATACTAAAGGCCACCTTAGGCCTATTGTGAGTTATGCTTTGCAGTGCCTGGCGTAAGAACTTGGTGGGGTTAGCTGCTGCCATGTAAGCAGCTAGTGATGGCATGTAACCAGGATGTACTGGCACTGCTGTACCAGCTGTTAAAATGAAAAGCCTTTCATGCCAGTTGGTAAAAACTGATTGTCTGCCCCCAGATGCCTCCATGGCTTCTATGGGTGCCCCTACCAGCATGCAGCTGGCTTTACGACTCATATCCATTCTGATTGGCAGTGCTCATACTATCCCCTCTGCTAGCAGCCTATCATTTTAATTAGATTGACAGGATTTATTTAGTCATTATTCTCTTGGACGTTTAGGTTGTAGCTAATTTTTTTCACTGTTAATGCTGCTCTGATAAATATCATGTAAATGTGTCATAGAGGATGCTAATTTCAGTTCACTTTTTAGTAGCAAATGAAAACTTCTCTGATTGACCCCCATTTGATTTGAAGGCTATTTGCCGAACTCCTCCTTTCCAGGTTGAATTATCTTCATACAGTACCTGTTGTTTCAGCCACTTTTTTGCTTGCCTTCTGAATTCACTTTTTATTCTATACATTTCTCTTCTATCCTGTGACCAGAACTGGACATGACGGGTTCCTGAGTCAGACCCCTGAGGAGTTAAACGTCTTTTCATGATTTTTTCTCTCATCCTTTTGCTTTTCAATGTTGTGCTTACTTTAAGTCAGCCAAAAACAAAACAAAACCAGTATCCCTGTGTTACTGTTTAAATACCTACCACCATCTGACTCAGCCTGTTTCATCCTATGTTTGTCTAGTCTGTGAGAAACCCCTAACTGCACTTTATTAAAGAACAATCCTATTTGTTTCTGGTGTAGTGGCATGTTACTAAGGTGTTTTTTCTGCATGTTGCACAGCAGTATTTTTTGTTGGTGTTTTTTTTTTAACCTAGGTCATTTTGAGTATTAATTATTTTCTCCTTGCTGTGAATTAAAAAGTCTTCCAGAGTTTAGGTAGAAGCTGTAAATGTGCCTCGTTGACTCTCCATCTGGGCTGGGCTGGCCTGATATGACTCATGTTGTTGAACACATGTCATTAACAGTCAAGAGGCACATGTTGCTTCAGAAATGGGAAAGGGAGGGAGCAGTTAGATCAAAGTGAGTTCTGACTATACAGAGGTTGCCCAACTGAGAAAATAAAAGCCCGTCGAATCCACTCTGAAGACTCTTCTGTTTTTCACAGTTTTAAATGATTATTTACTGGATTATCTTTCTTATGTGGTCAAAGGTTCATTTGGGATTCAAATAAAAAGCAACTAATCTCCACTTGCTCTGAGAAGCACAACATGGAAGCTCACAAGAACAGAAGGAAGTTGTCTCTATTACCTGTGCTGAGTTAGACAGAGTAGACTTTATTTAGTCCTTAGGGTGTCAAAAAGAATTGGTGAAAGGTTTGGAAAATAATAAATAAAACCCTTAGGAATTAATGATTAGGTAAAATTGAATAATATGTTAATATCTTCAATTTAAAGGAGTCATGTTTGGGGCTGGCCGAGTGGCTCAGCTGGTTAAGAGCTTACTCAAGATTGTGAGCTCTGAGCAACAGCAACAGCGGTTCGAGTCCCAGCCTGAGCTGAGCTGCTGCTGAGCTGCCAACAGGTGGCAGGATGGCTCAGCTAAAAAAAAAAAAGTAAAGCAGTCGTGTTTGAATAGTACAAATTTTGATTCTCTGTTAAGGAATTTTCATATAATAGATTGGAAAGTACATTTGTTTCTCAATTGCATGTATGAAGTAAAAAAGGAAGTAAACTAGCAATAGTTAAGATGATAATTTGATTTTTGGCAACTAAAAGATGTTTTGTACCTTTTGTTTTATGGCCTTTTGTGAGATCAACTTAGTGAAGCACATGAAAGCATTATCTATACCAGAATTCTGTATCTAATTACCACAGAATTGCTGTGCTATTTTATTTGTGATTTTTGTTTCCTAATGACAGTTGTTGAAGTTTTGGAAATTAATAAGGGAATCTCTAAGAGATTTCACATCAAAGTTTATTCCATAGTTCATGTAAGTTTCTCAGGACGTTAATTGAGGTTTTAAAAAAAGGATAACTTAAAGGCATACAATAGATATTGAAGCGAAGTACAGCAAGCCACCTACCTTCTCCAAGGCGTCTCTTATATGATAGCCTTTTTAATGATATGGTTGGTTTAATTTTCACTGCTTTAGACAGTTGGAGTAAAAAAGAGACTACAGTATTCGGAGTTCAATTTATTGTAAATTCAGATTCTGCCAATTTTACCTGCAAATGATTTCAGGTCAGTGATTCCTTTGGCACATTTTAATAAGCTACATTCTCCCTACTGATATTTTAACTAAAAATCTCAGTACAACCAATTCTCATTCCTGACAGTAATTATGTTCTACGTAGTCTGCATGAATACTGAATGAGTGAGTACTGAACCATCTCTCGTAAGGGAAATACAGGGCTAGGTTCCTACAAACCTCTCGTCACAACATTCATTTTTGTCAGCCGATCAATACATAACCTTGTTTTATGTGTGTTTCTGATTAAAGTTACCTTATTTAATATAGATTGTTAATTCTTTAACATTGAGCCCACAACTAACTCATGTCCAAAACAAGCTTATCTAACATTTTTTCCACACAAGGCACATCGCAGCCTTCTTGTGCTCAGGGACACTGAACAGCACTTAACACTATGCTTGGAGGCTATTTTAAACAGCAAAACCAGTAAAAGCACAAAAATACAAAATGTGTGGTACTAAATAGACCATGAAGAAGACACTTGTTTACAATATAAGAATTGAAACGAGAAGGCAGAGCACTCCCTCACTGGCCCTTAGCTGGGAACAGGGTGACTCAAGTATTTCCTTGCCCTGCTCATGTCTGCAAAAATGCCATGAGTATTGATTTGGGGATTACACGTAAACTTTATCCAGTAAGCAAATTCATAAATACAAAATCCATAAATAATGAGAATCAACTGCATAAGCTTTAACAATTAGTGAAAATTACAAAACTATAATTATTGTTTTTTTTAAGAGTTGTTGTCATCCTTGTTGTTTTTATGTCGCAATGTAGAGTGACTTAATCATGGCAAAAGTGAACTAAAAAATAGAGAGTGGTTATGCCTGAAAGCCAACCAAACGAGGATATCTATGCTTGCTTGATTGTTGAGAAAGGTAACACGTAAGGTCCTCTGAAGTACTGTAGGATTCTTTTACTGTTACATCTCATTAAATTTATGCAGGTCAAGTGACTTGTGTCACAAGTTCCTATATATCTTAAATGAAAATGAAAAGTGCTCAAGAACAAGGGTATGATTCTCGTCTGTTGACATTTGGGTTGAGTGTCAACATGTGAGTCTCCTGGAAAAACCCCCTTTTGAGTGCTTCATCTCTTGGAGGAATGTTGGTGCTGTATCTTACCAGAAGTCCATGTGATGATCACTTCTCTCTTTTTTTTTTTTCATTTATTTTAATAATTTCTAGATATTTCTTGTTCTTTGGGGGTATTAGGCTCTATTCCAAAAATATTTGTATTCTACCACTATTTTCTTGAGTTCTAAACATGTGCATGCATAGTCCTATGCATGTTGACACCACAGATATATGCAAAAGTGATAATTTATTTTGGGTAGTCAGAAAGAGCAGATATTAAGGTTGATGTATTGAATTGTTATTAAAAATAACTTGTTTTTAAAGCAGATGGATTCACAGAGTTTTGTTAATTTTTCATTTGACTGCTGTTCATTACTCTTATTAATCATCATCTGGAATTTGAAAAGTAGATTTGTTTTTCAAGGTGTTTCATTGATTTCCTCTTTGTCATATGTTTTGAGTGCTAATAGAAAGTAAAGCTACTTTAAATAAAGTGTTATATTAAAATGCATCCCTAAGCCCAGCGAGGCCTTAACAGAACCCCACTCCTATGTCGGCAGGTTGCTCCAGTCCATTGGGCCCCATTTGTTTAACTGGCTAAATTACCAGAGTGTTGTAGCAGATGTTTTTTTGTTTTGCTTATGTTGCTCTCTGTTTCTGAAGGGCAGGGATATGTCTGTTGCGCCAAGTTCTTAAAAAGCCAGCATACTTGCCAGCAGGTTTGTGAAGGTTCCCCAGGGGAGATCACGAAGGAGGGAAGATTTGTAAGCTCGTGATCATCAGGCCACTGCCAGCCCCTCTGGAAGGTTGTCTGAACTGTTGATGATATGTACACTGCAGAGCTTGGAATTGTTTGTGCACATCTCTTGGACTGCTGTCAGGAAGATAAGAACTCTTCTTGTACTTCAAAGCAAAAAAGGGGGAGTGGGGGTGGCAGATAATATAGGAATCTGTTGGGTGGTGCCTAATCCGTGTTTTATTTATCTAGGAATTTTCTGTGTGTACGTACTAAGAGATGGGAAGAGTCATTCAGACAACTTAAAGTCACATGTAGTTTACTTTAGCATGCTGTCAGGGACCTAAACAAACGCTCAGAGATACTTCCCTCTGCAACTGACTCCGGTTTCTGTTTGCTGATCGCTACTGCCAGGCCACAAGCCCTGGCAAAACAGAGGAAGACTGCAGGTTGTAAGGGAAAAACTTCTCACAAATAGTTAAAAATTGCCTCTAGTTTGGGGCTGAGACTGAAAAGAATTTGATTATAGTTTCAATTTTGCCCTTAATTAGCAGGCTGGGTTTTGATAAATTGCCTCCCCTTGAACCTCCTCGTCTGTGAAATGAGGGAGTCTGATAAGATGTTCTGTTCAATCCTTTGTGTCTCTCATGTTCTCGGTTCTGGGATTCTTTATTTGTCAAGGCTGCTACCAAGGTTGTACTATCTTTTAAGTCATATATTCTATCAGTGAAAGCTACTGCACATTGCGTTCATTACTGGACACCTAACTTGCAATACAGTGGTCTTCACTGATGGATATTCAAATTTAATGAGTATTAAGATTTAGCAATCTGTATCATGTTTTAAGAGAACAGCACATAGTATTAAACCTGTCCGAGTTAGACAGCTACTGATTTTTTTGCTTGTATTATTCAGAATCTAAACATGGAATTGAATATCTCTCAAAGATATTGTTGGAATGAGCTTTTGGGAAAAGCTTTAACAACCCAAGAGCTGAGATTAAGTGTGTTTGTTTCCCTAGCTGTGTTTCACATTCTCCATGTGTTAGGGACATGTTCCCAGGGATGGTAACTTCTGGGGGGGAAACTTCAGGACTCCTGCTGCTTAACTTATAGCTTCATCATGAGTACTCTGCATGAATAGATTAGTTAGGAGGCCTTTGGTTACACTTAGCAGAGATCCCAACTCAAACTAGCTTAAATAGTAAGGAGTTACTGGCTCCTAACTAAATACAGAGGAAGAACAGGCTTCACGATCAGTCTAATCCAGTGTTATAGGCGCAGCTTCTCTGGAGCCTGGACATGCCTCAGCAGTGCTTTCCACTTACGGTGACTTCTTCAAGTTATGCACTCATTGTAATAGAATGCCTATAGCAATGGCTTTGCTTTGTATTCATATACTACAGCAGCAGTTCTCAACCTATGGATCGCGACCCCTTTGGGGGTCGAACAACCCTTTCACAGGGGTCGCCTAAGACCATCAGAAAACAAAAAGATATTTACATTACGATTCATAACAGTAGCAAAATTACAGTTATAGAGTAGCAACGAAAATAATTTTATGGTTGGGGGTCACCACAACATGAGGAGCTGTATTAAGGGGTCGCGGCATTAGGAAGGTTGAGAACCGCTGTTCTACAGTGTTGGGAGTTCTCAACCTGGGCACTGACATTTGGGGCCAGATAATTCTTTATTGTTGTGGAACTGCCCTGTGCACTGTAGGATGTTTAGCAGCATTCCTGGCCTCTACCCACAAGATGCCAGTAGCACCCAACCCTGAGTTGTGATAATCAAAAAAGTCTCCAGAAATTATCAAATGGTTGCTTGGAGGGTAGGGTGCGTAGGCAGAAATACCCTGGTTGAGAACCACTGGTCTAAAGGAAGACAGACCATTTCGTCAGGTGGCTGTCTGAAGGGTGAGGAAATGTGTTTCCTAATAGATCCCAAATTTCCCCCTTTGTTTTATTGCCTCAACCTGGGTCACTCCCCCATTCCTGACGCCATCACCTGCGAGGAGGTGGAATTTCCTTCACGCTCATCAGGCCCAGCATTGGAACTAGGGATGGAATCAGCTCCCCTGAGGCAGGTGACCATTCGGGGGGCAGTTTGATCCAGTAAAGTCAGTGAAAGGGGGATGCAAGCTGGAAGGAACCCAACAGTGTCTACAATCACTGTATTCTAAATTTGTCTTTATTTTTCTTCCTCTCAGTGAGGACTATGGAAAGAACTTTAAGGACATTACAAATCTCATCAATAACACCTTCATTCGGACTGAATTTGGCATGGCTATTGGTCCTGAAAACTCTGGAAAGGTGAGACTCATTAATGCATATATAGAGCTGTGCTTGATACCACATGCAGGCTGTCAGATGTAAATGCTGGAATGATCCAGTGATACACAGCAATATATTTAGTTTACTCTTATTATATTTTACAATTAATTTAATACAGATCACAAAATAATGGAATTCAGCACACAAGTTCTTTTTTGGTCCTTGTCCAAAGCAGTTGTTTACTATTACAATGTATACTCCTTAAGACAACATTTTAGTCTTTGGGAAACTGGCTAATCTCAAACTGGCCAGGCTGAGGTTCATAGGAATAAAGTACTAGCTTAATTCAGGATAATATTTTTTGATAAGACTAATCCTTGAGTGGGGTACACCAACTAACCTGTTTTTATAACTCTTCTAACATTGGTAACTAAAATTTTCTTAACTAATGTCTGGTGAAAATGGTGCAAGAACTTCCTGTGCTTTTATAGTGTTATACCCTGAATCTGAGCTTTCTTCTTTCTAATCAGGTGATTTTAACAGCAGAGGTGTCTGGAGGAAGTCACGGAGGAAGAATCTTTAGATCATCCGATTTTGCAAAGAACTTTGTTCAAACCAATCTTCCTTTTCATCCTCTGACTCAGATGATGTATAGCCCTCAGAATTCTGATTATCTTTTAGCTCTCAGCACTGAAGTAAGTCTAGTTAAAGAACTTGTCTTTTGCATTTTTATTGTCTCAAAATATACTGTCTTAAAAAGACCCTGTAGGTAATGCTTTTATGCAATATTGGACTGCTTTCTAGTGACTTCTTATGTCATGAAGTATGGTTTTTTTGCAATTTTTTCCTATTTGGTAAAGGGCACGATTTTCATGTGCTGTCTATTCCAAATAAGTATGATATCTAGCTGTCATTACTTTTTTTAAGTGAATAGATGTGTGCTATTGGAGTAATGAACTAGAAAAGAGTTTAATGTAATCATTCGTGTTCTGCAAGGGACAAGCATAAATTGTCAAAGTCCTGATGTTGTTATTGTTTCTTGTGGCCAAACCACATCCTTATAATTTTTCTTTTTTGTTAGTTTCATAGTATATCAAGCATATTGATTTCTGTCTTAGACACTCATGTATTAAATATCTAGAGTCTGAAATGCCTGCACCCTACCACATTCCTAAACTCTCCTTCAAACCAGGTCCCTCCTACCTCTCTTCTGAAAGTTCCCTTTCCTGAGGACCAGTCTGTCCTTTATCATGGGTGCTAAGGGCCCAAAGGCTGAGCTGCTAGACTGATAATCAGAGTTATATTTTATGTGGCTCACTCTCATCTTATTTCTTTGTGGTCTCCTGACCTGCAGTGTCAGATAGAAACCCCTGGGAGTCTGGTTTAAGATGTGGATTCCCAGGCCCTGATCCAGATATAGTGTGTCAGTGACTTTTGGTTGCAAGGTTGCTAGTATTTTTAACAAGCCCCCCCAGCCCAGCCTGCACACTAAAATTTGAGAGCCATTGCTGTAATGACCGTTCTGGTCACAGAAACAGGATCATCAAATGTGGACAAGTCGAGCTGAGCACAGGGGTGGCAAAGGGAGGGTGAAGGCCCTGGAAGAGAGGTCTGCATTCCGGGCCTGCTGTGGGCAGATCTTTGAGCAGATGTAAGAGTGGAAGCTCAAGGAAGGTCAGAGCTAAGCTTAGCCAAGGAAACCAGAGGAGGCCAGAGGAAGGAAACGAGCCTGCTAGGTAGGCTTCAGATCTTCAAGAAACAATTACTGGAAATTGGCCTCCAGCAACTTGAGCTAAAGGCCCTTCAAGGGAGCAAAAAGATCCCTTAGAAGTGGACAGAACCATCAATCCCCCCCTTTGATCACCCCATCACCATTACCAAGTATCTTAAGGTTATTAAAGCAGGCTGTCCTCAGGAAGAGGCAGGCACAATCTGCTTTTATACCTGATATTTCTTCCAGTTAAGGGTAAATTGGAAGTACAAATAATTAGGGAACAGAAGATGGACCGGTTTGTATAAAGTGCAAATAGGGGATAGCAAACCCTTTCCTGTTTCTATAGAATTAGGCAAATTAGAAATGCTGGGAGGTGAACATTACAAGAGTAGGAAAAGTTGAAGAAAGAAGGATGGTGGGTGGGGGAGCACTGAAGGTAAACTCTGCCTAGATCAGCCCCATTTCAGCTGTACCAGCACATCTCTGTCTCACCTCCACTGAGTCTGGGCCCAGTACGTTTCTGTTGCCAGTGTGATTCACATTGTCAGTCCTTATCTTACTAAATTTTTGCTGCGTTTGAAAGTTTTGGCCAGTCCCTCCTTTTGGGAATTCTGCTTGCTTGGCTTCTGTGACATCATTCCCTTTGGTTCTTTCCTTCTAACTATTCCTTCTTGGGTCTCTTTCTTAAACTCCTTTCAACCTACCCTTAAATCACTCGGCTCATTTCACTCTGAGCAGTCTCTTCCCTCTTACCATTTTAACTACCACCATAATATGTAAGATTTTTAAGTCCCTCTCTCTGGTCCTGGCTTCCTCCTGGGGCTTTAAATCCCTGTCTTGCTGCCCCCTGGGTATCCCTAGCTGGAAGTCTCACAGGCATCTCAGACTGAATCTAAACCGACTTCTTTCTGCTCTTCTCACAGACATACTCTCTTCCCTTAATCCTTATACTGGCTAAAGATTCCACAGTGCATCTTATCCCTCAACCAGAATCCCAGAGTGATGGACACTCTCTCCCCCTCTCCCCCTCTCCCCCTCTCC